CCCTACACAGAAATATACTACTAATCACTTTTAACCCAACAAACCAAGTTGTACTTACGAGGCTAGCAGCATAGCAGCAGTGCCCACAAGCTGAAGTTTTCCTCTCAACACAGACATCGATGAAAGAAACCTATCAATGTAGTTCACAGCCAAATGCAGGGTTTCATTCTGTAGTTTATATTCTTCTCCTACTTCAACTAACCAGTCCACGAGGATAGCCCTCATACTGTTAGTAATGTCTGGCTGTTTCTTCATGTAACCCACTTTAGGCTTACATTTAACCTGTTGAGAAGGTTATGTGTTAAAACTGCAGTTAGATTATTCTACCATTAACAAATGCTGCCTATATGCTAGAAACTTAAGTATAGCATTAGAGTAATTCACTGGCAGTTAAAAAACTTAAAAACATTATCCTCTTAATTTCCTTTCACCCCAGTGAACAAATAGTGTAAAAAGTAGATTCAGAGAGCCTTTACCTCCATTTCCCTAAGGTATGTGTGAATGTCCTCATGGTAGTCTGGTACTTCATTAACACTCACTGGCTTTTCATCTTCCAATACAATTGACATATCCATAGTATGTGGTGACTCTGGGAGAATTCAAAAGTACAGTGAAGTTCACTTTTCATTTTCGACTTTAAGGGCTAAAAGTGACTGCCCTTGTAAGGAGTCCCAAACTACCAATGTGTTTATTTCATCCAACTAAAAAGAGCTTGTTATGACAAAGTACATAGAAGATTTAACTCTGATTTTAGTATCTATGTCCACTTAGTTTTGGAATGATTTTAATTAACAAGAAAAAGTACTGACAAACCATTAACAGGAAAATGAGTTAGAGGAGCAGGTATTATGTTGAAGTATCTTCATGTCCCATGACAGGAGTACACTGGGTTTGCTAGGACAAAGTTAAAGTCCAAGTTTGGAGATATCTAGGATTTGTCAAAAGAGAGTTTGCAGACCCCTAAGTCTAACATATTCAAAGCACAATCCAGGCAATAACTAGAAGTAGGGCTAACAAATGTGCTAAAGAGAAACTCCGATTTCTTATGGGCAGTTCAAACACATTAACACTAAAATCAATGGGTGATTCTTTTTTGGTAAATTTAAATTATCTTTGAAGGCAAAAAAATATCGTCCATTATTTTTACTTCAAGGTTTGAGTTTAAAATTTGTTGCAGATTTTAAATAAAAATACACCAATTATTTTATTTCCATAGGACTTCCCTGCTATAACTCTCATCTACAGAACTAAAGCTGAGGTTGAATTTAGTGAGCTGTCCAGTGACTCAACAGCCTGATGGTAAAGAAGCAGCACAAACTGTAGTCAGAGTTGTCTATAGCAGCTACTGTGACCCACAGGAGGACAATGTCCCTGTCTGGTATCAGACAATCACTCAGACTGATTTTACAGAAACAAAGTTTTAAAGGTGGAAGAGATGTTGGCTATCTCAGTATTTAAAATTGCATTCTCAAATAGCACTGTATTTGAGAATGGTATGTACAAAGTGAGTCTTAATACAACTGAAATATATTCTCCCAATCAAGCAAACATTTCCAGGGTCAGATTAAAATAAGTCTGAGATCTAATGAAATTGGTATGATTAGCAGTGTACCAGAAGGAGCACGGGATTAGGATCCTTTTGTAGGTCACTAGGTCTTGGATTAGCTGTGAGGCCTGAGATAAGTCACACCCTTTCTAAACTTGTTATATTAAACCTAACTCATAATGTAGTTAAGGATCAGGTAAGATAATGTTTTGAAAAGCAAAATTTCATTAATTCAGTCTATTCAATAATTATGATTACATTGATTTGATACAAATTTTAAAACTTACCAAAACTACCATCCATTGGGTAATCAAGAGGTACCAGTGGTTTTCTCGGTCCTGGTAAAGTAACAGCTGAATTAAAAGCCAAGACATCTTCACTTTCTGGTTTTTTAGATTCAACTGGCCTCTTTTGAGTCTCTTCTTCTGCTTCATCCACATGAATGGTAAATGCAGGCTGTTGACTGTTTGCTTTCCAGGGAGGAACGGTGACATGCTCATCATTTATAGGAAGATCCTTAAGAGGTGCAACCTAAAAAATAAATAACTGGCTTTGAGGCTATTAAGTGGAATTTTGTTCTGCTTTCATCCCCTTATACTGCATTTACTCCCAATTACTCTATCAGGAAAATTAAACTTTAGGGGGGAAAATCCAGACAAGGAAATTTGAGTAGTCAGTCGGAGAAAGAAGGGATGTTCCAATTTGTCACAGGCATTCC